TTTTAATCGAGGTACCTAATTCCTGTTTCAACCACGACATTTAATTTATCATTTAATTCGCACATAAAATTTTTGTAATTTAGATTTCTTAATACAAATTTTATAAAAATGACCAGAAATTCAGCAGAAGTTTTTATTGACAAATATTCAGAAACATTATTCCAAAATCCATTTCACGTTACGCAAACGCTAATATCTAAACCATCTATCTATACATTGTTCAAGCTCTAATGTTCGTTATTGCTCCATTTGTCATCGTATAATATATCCTATAGAAAATGTTATATTATAGATCTTTACATACTGTAATTACGCGAAAAAGGCAACATTTATTTGGATTTTTTTTTTATTACCGTTACAGATTTAATTATGTTCGAACAAATCTTTCAAAATAAGATATCTTCAAAATATGCACTAGGTTCACATAATATTTAAAAATACCATTTCAATTTTGAATGAGACATCTATTTGTTAATTCCCTCTTATAATGATGATTATCGTTATTGTTAGATTCCAAGTACAATACATTTTCTAGCACATGATCTTCCACAATAACGATGGACTCTTCCATCATGTTCAATATAACAACGTTTAAAACATTTTGGGTGAGCGCATCTGTTTGTACAAATTTTATATATACGTGCGTATTAAAAAAAAATATATGTCAGATTCGATCATTTAATTCAAAGATAATTAATTAATCGATTTCACAATATGCATGCGAAAGCATTACTCACAGAGGAATCATTTTTGCACAAGTTTGTCCGCAAAACTCATGTGCTTTTCCATTTTCTACGTAACGTAAGTTAGTACAATTTGCACGTAAACACTTCTTTAAAGCATTTTTTTGAAAATTCAAAGTTGTATCAACTTTATAAGTAGCATCGTATTCAAGAGTTGAAATTGATTGATTAGAATCCGGCTGATCTAACATTTCCGTTTGATCAAAGTTATTAAAAGAAAGTGTTGTATCATCTTTTTGATTCTTTATCGACACGGAGTCATATGAATTGCCAGTATTATACTTGTTCCCAGACCTGTCAAAAAAAAAAAAAAAAAGAAAAAAAAAAAATTAGAAAGACAAGTAGACAAACATTAAAGATATTAAGAACATACACATAATTTTCTTGACATAGGGTTAATTGCATGTTTGATATTGAGTTGGAAAATAAGTGGAAAAGAATTAGAAGATAGTTGAAAAATGAGGAAAACAAGGTATATTAATATGAAATAATTTTTAATTGACTCGTAAGTTTAG